GTGCCAAATCATCAAACCTATCACATCTCTTAACTGAACCATCTGTTCAAAATTTTCAAAAATATACCGAATTCCAAGTATAATACATCCAAGTCCTAAGCCCTAAGCATAATAACCTTTTCCAAATCCAAATCCCAAATATAATAAAACCATCTTATATCACAAGTCTCAACCTAAAATAATAAATTATTTCCCATTTTTCTAAAACTTGTACGTGCTGCAACATGTTACCTTAATATATACTTAATGGGTTGGTTAAACTCACGAAATAAACAACTTAGAAGTGCAAAAAATTTACGAAAGTATGAACAACGAGAAAAATTACTTGATCATCTAATTTCAGTATTTAAAAAATTAGATGACAATGATTTCATTTACATAATAAAAAAAATATTCGAATCTCGAGAAATAAATACTTGTGTTCATGCAAAGCGTAATGAAATGCTTATACATGTTTTCGATTTACCTGATTCCCAAGTTCGTAATGCATCGGCACTTTTTCAAACAATGTTATACTCTCAAGGAAATCATAAAGGAGAAATAGTTTCCACCTATTTACAAAATAAAGCGTGTGAGTTTATAGATATTAGTCTTTATAAGAATAATCACAATATCGCTATCAATGCATTAAAACTAAAAAATAAAAATTTAAGACAAGAGAATCGGCGTTTAAAAAGATATAAATCTTCTTTTACCACTCGTTCACTTTCCGTACGAATAGCAAGAGCCAAACAATTTAAACGAAAACAAATTTCAAAAATTCGGTCTTCTATTCGTAAATCAAAAAAAATTCATCTAATTCAATTCCAACAAGCGGTCACTAAATTATTTAAATTTAATAACAATGAATACAACGCGAGATTTGTAAAATTAGCTACTGATATTAGTACAATAGGACGAACCTCAATACGTGCAACAGTAAAATGCACTAAAGCCATTTATCAATTCTTAACCGGGAAAATGCCAAAGTATTGGATAATAGCAAAAACTTTAGCACGATGGAATAATGAAATAGCCAGTTTATCATTTATCCAAAATCATCCTATTGAAACTTCTAGGTTTTTTGGTTACGGTGTTATGGTTGATGAAAGCACATAGGGAGAAACTAAAGTGTTAATTATTTGTATTTCATATTGGAATCATATTAAAGAAAAATCTACAATCACTATAGTAAAAGTAAAAGACCTAATAAATTGTAATTTTGAAACAGTTTCCACTGCAGTATTTGAAGCGTGTCAACAAAATGGAATTGATCCCCAAAAATGTCATTTCTGGTTAACAGATAATACAGCTTATATGTCCTCAGAGGTTAATAGCGCGGTTGCTAAATTCAATTCATTAGCAGCATCTAAATCATTTTGGATCCCTTGTGGATTGCATGCAATCCACATTGCTCTAACACATTTTGAAAATACGGCATTTGGAAAATTAGATTCCGTCAAAAGATTATCATTAAAAAAGCATTCATATAATTTACTTAGTCTTGCTTTCTATCTTCACGACGGATACAATATTTCAGATAAAGACAGTCTGTTAAACCTAAAATCTGGAATGTTAAAAGAACTCTATAAAATTGTGTTTAACTTTGAAATGTACCAATATTAACAGCCTATTCGTCAATGGTGGTTATATGAGCTTAAAACTGCCAAACAGTACTTTAATAGACGTGAAGTCCATATTCGCTTTGCACACTTCTTTATTGAACAGCTCGAAAATGCCAAAGATGTTCCGAAATCATACTTAAATAAGTGGCAATTAT